ACGATTACCAAGGTGAGTAATGTTTATAAAGTTGGGGGGTTTTTTGTTACGGGGCTTTTGTTTTTCAAGTTTGAATTGTGTCAAAGCGGCGGGACTTCTCCGCGGATTGATACGCACTCATTACACAGAAACAATTCCACTTTCAGGACGCCCAGGTTTCTTCAATAACTTCTATGTGGTCAGAAGGCAATTATGTTCTGGAAAGTGCTTTTGTGCACATTAAACATTTATAGGACACAATGTATGTAATATGCTACATCACCAGGTGACAAAATTTGCAGCGTGGCGGCTTAGTGGAGAGCACGCCTGACTTCAAGCACTGCGGCCTAATGTCGATCTTGGAGAGCACGACTGACTTCAAGCACTGCGGTCTATTGTTGATCTTGGAGAGCACGCCTGACTTCAAGCACTGCGTCTATTGTTGATCTCTTTGTAAGAAAACCAGGAGGTTGGCTGTCAATATCTTATGAGTCAGTGGCCTGGACTGAGCATGAGGATCAAGACAGTCAAAATTAACTCAAAACTCCTGAACTGCATAGGTATCCCTGGTCAGTCCTTTGACAGCTGTCATTGTGTCCCTATTGGATAAGGTTTCCTAGCCTACTGTTTCAGTGTCAACTATGACCATCACCAGGACAGAAGAGAAGGTCATTCAACCCAATGGGAACACAGACAGAGGCCCTGACAGAGTAACTAAACCAGGGGTAGGCAATCTTTGGCTCTTGAGCTGTGGTGACACTATGAATCCACTTGGTCATTGCCAGATGCTGACCTCCACAGGCATGACTTTTAGAGGCCGATGCATGATGGAGGGCTGATGTTTGCCTACCCTGGTCTAAACCTTCTCCACAAAGCTAAAGAAATATGATTTGTGTGATTCCATGCAAAGCAAACCAACAGGTTCACTTAAAGTGTATCTAAACTCAAGAACAAAATTGGAATATATTACAGCTTACCTGTTCTTAGATGTGGTGGCTGCATTCATTTTCTTTTTTCAGGCCTTTATTATGGGCATCAGGTGCGCTGGGGGGCGGAGGCATGGGTGACTAACCCTCCTGTCCCCCTCTGATAGCTTGTCCACCCAGCTGACAGCTCAGCCGCCCACTGCCTTCAGTCACCTCCCGCCCAGCTGACAGCTCAGCCGCCCACTGCCTTCAGTCACCTCCCGCCCAGCTGACAGCTCGGGCCCCATCTCCTGGCTGCCTCAGGGAGTGAAAAAGGTAGGGACGGGCCTGGCTCCAAGTCATTATTTTGGAGCCTACACAGGGTAGAAGACTCTCTCCCAGCCCTCATGTCAAAGTGTTGGGCCAATCACCTGGAACCAGCGCTGTCACGTGGTCAGAAGGGGAATGAACTACATCCCCCATAATTAGTACCGGGTATTTCACTTTGCCTTCAGTGTCCAAAAGCAGTGTCAGGGGAAGAAAGGGATGGTATGTGCTGCTGGGAAGGGAGAGGGGGTTATAAAAGCATTTTGTAAGCTAAAACGTTCATTTTGCACAAAAAAGGGAACGGTTTAAACCCCTGGTTGGGTTTCTTTTGTGTCATTTGTGTCCTATTGGGAAGAAGCAGAATTCTCCAAAGTTAGGGAAATCCCCTCGTAGACAGTTATCTGGCAAAATCAACATTTTTTTTGAACACTTAAAGAACAGATATAACAAAACACTTTCAATGGTTTGTCTAACGGCCCAAAAATGGAGCAAATAAGAGAAGTTTGTTGTTGGGGTTTACATACACTTTGCGTGACCTCGTGCCTTTGCTCTGTATAGTCAAAGCACGGGTCCACCTTAAGTACTTAAGGACTTTTGAATAAAACACACACTTGGGACTCCTCAGAATATATATATGTAGCTTACATACTGTATATTAAAGCAGCCTTCTAGACTCCACCCTCACTTCTTCTGACACCCCATATCTAAGTGGATTGACACTTTAAATCCTTTATATCTAATAGACAGGGACACAGGCTGAGCCTCTGTGTGAAATCCAATTACTTGGTTTAATTTCACATATCTATTTATTAAGTTGCTAGTAAAACTATTCATTCTCTCCCTCATTAATCCTGCCTGAGCGTTTCATTATGCTGCTTATTAATTACATAATATCCCTTATTAGCTAATAAAAGTGTAGATTGAAGACACTGAAACCTACTTTAGGTGTAATAAGTCTGCCCGTTAATGGGGAGAGGTGGCGTTAACATTGAAAGTGCAGATTTTCTATTGTGCCAGGGTGGCTCGACACCAATAAAAAACACCTTCTAATTGGAGCCATGCAGTCATCCTATATTATTTCATACCTTATTATTCTGCAAAGAAGGTAAATAACTGGTTTAAAATGAGCCTTGCGTAAGCCATGCTGTAAACACTGCAGAATTAATGACCTGAATCTGAAATAATAATAACCTTGCATCCTGATCAACCTTTTGGAATTACAATAATAAGATTCTTCCATCCACAACCTGTTAGAAGCTGCTGCAGAACTTATCTCAGGGCCCCTATCAGTGCACAACAGGGGCTGCTGGTACATGGGGCCCAGGCAAAAGAGGCAGGGGGCCCAATCAACGAGAATTCCTGACTACCTAACCTGTTTGAGAAACAGACCACAAAAACACCAAGCATTATTCCAGGATGCAGCTGGACCAGGAATCTGAGAGCACACCTATATTGTCTGGCTTTGGTCACATGGTAAAGAGCAAAGATGTCACCAAGGACTGGGGGTTTTAACAGGCAGGCGGCGTGGAGGCTAGTGATGGGCTCGGGCGGGTTTGCAGCTCCATGCGCCGAGCCGGCCAGGAAGCTGACAGCGCCAATCACAGGCACTGAGACATTTCCCGATCTGTGCAGCTGCGGACCGGGATAATGTCTCAGTGCCTGTGATTGGCGCTGCGGCGCTGTCGGCTTCCTGGAGGGCTCGGCACGTGGAGCTGTGAACACGCCCGAGCCCATCACTAGTAGAGGCTGGGTCTGTCCTCTTTTAGACCTGTGAGGACTGAACCCTTGCTTCTACAACACAGAGCACCAAGGATAACATTTAACACTTTTGCACATGCAACTGACAGAGACAAATAAACAAATACTTTCCTGCAGTATGACTTTACGTTTGTTTGATGAAAATGAATTGTTACTCTTAGGATTTTAAGATACATAGTATGCTTAGGTGATGTTTTTATTTCAAGTGTATCCAAAGCCAATACTTTATTTCTTTTGGTTAAAGTAGGGAAAGTCTGAAACCTCTACCGTGTTATTGGGCTATCTGTGTCTGGTTGGAGTTATTTCCTGTCCTGAAGACCCAGCAGAAGTGAGAGCAAATCTCTCCAAACTATAACAGGGTTATTTACAAAGGGGGTGAAGAGTTTGGAGAAGGCAGGAGAAGTGAACAATCTAGGACAACATAGCTGAACTGGAAAGTGAGCTGAATTGGAGAATGTTTCCAAATCAGGTATGTTGTCCTAGATTGTTCACTTCTCCTGCCTTCTCCTAACCCTTCACCCTTTTGTGAATAACCCTGTAAGGTAAATCCTCTTAGTTGTCTCTGGAGCAGTCATCCCCATTGGAAGACTTCCCCTAATCTCCTGTTATGGTGACAACGAAAACGCTTGGATTTGCCATCACTTTCTTTGCAGGTGACATTGACAACAAGAACAAAGAGCGAGGGTGAACATTTCCTGCAGGGACACAGGCAGGAATTAAAAAATTCAGAGGTTCTAACCTTTCCCTACTCCCTCCTAAACAAAAATGTTGTGGCCTTGGATGCATTTTACTAATATAACTACTAAGGGGTCTATTTATCAATGTTTCCATCCAATTTTGACCCAAGAGTCACGTATTTTTCTAAAGGAACCTTATGTAAAAATGTGTGAATCTTGGGTGAAAGTTGGGTAAGTATTGGGTAACACATTGACAACTCATATACTCAGGAGTAGGCAGCACAGTGATTGGTTGCCTCGGGTTAGAGCACTTTGCCCAATTTTTTATTGAGTTAGTGTCTAATCCATCAGGTTCAAAATACCGGTATTGGTGCCGATGCTGAGTATTTGGGCGAATACTCGTACCCGCCCAAATGCTCCAATACTTACCCCAATACCGGAATTGACAGGGTCAGGGGGAGATTCGCTCTGACCGGTAGTGCCACAAGGGAGCAGTGTCGCAAGGGAGCTGAAGACTGTGTTCTTTCTATAGAACACCGGCTTCCTGGGCAATCAGGAAGTAATTACCTGCTACCCAGCCTCCTGATAAGCTGGGCCCGTGGTACCTCGGGATGCCGTATCGTTATTTGGTATTGGCAAGTACCGAAACACCCGAAAAAAAAAATATCAGCATTCATACTCGATACCGAAAAAACAGTATAGGTGCATCCCTAGTTCAAATAGTGGCTTAGTGGTTAGTGCTTCTGCCTTACAGCCCTGGGGGTCCCAGGTCCGTATGGACACTATTTGCATGGAGTTTGCATGTTCTCCCTGTGCTTGCAAGGGTTTCCTCCCACACTCCAAAGACATGCTGGAAGGTTAATTGTCTCCTGTCTATTTTGGCCCTTGTATGTATGTATGTGAGATGGGGACCTTAGATTATAAATTGTTGGCACTATATAAAAAAACTATAATAAACTTCAACTGTGCTGAATCTACAAATCCCGTCATGTCACTTGGAATCGAGGCTGTCAGAGTCTTGCAATGCCTCATGGGATTTGTAGTTCCACAACAAATGGAGTGCAGAGGCTGCCTACCCCCGTGCTATACTACTTACTATAGATTTGACAACATTTTGTTTTATTCATTATGACACTGAGAAGTCTCTGGACTTCTCTGGATGTGGCAGAAAATAGTTATAAAACCACAATAGCTTTGTTACACTGGGGGGGCGGGGGTCACAGGTTTTCGTTTTTAATGCAGTATAACACAGAAAAGCACTTTGCACTGACAGTAACACCTCAGCCATTCCATTGAGCGCTCCGCAGGCACATCACACAGCGGCAACCTCCTCCTCATTGCATTCACACCTCACCTTCAAATCGGAGACGTCTCGGTAACATTGCTCGGAGCGGGTGTGATCTGACAGCTGCACGTTCCAGAAACAAGGGAGCTGATGCACCAGGAAAGGGTTCTGCTTTATGACAGCGTTGAAAATGTCCTGGGGAAGAGAAGACAGCTCAGCCCTCCTCACTCACAACGCAAGCAGTGCGCATCCAAAGCTGCAAATGTCTGTCTGATGTTGTCAGGATGAAAGAAATTCAGAAAGCTTTTAGCTGTTCATTTATGGAGCGGCGGATCGGGGTAAACTGTTCACTTCTTTTTAAAATAAGCTGGAGGATATCAACCCGGTGCAGACCGCAGAGCTGAATGAGCGCATGGAACTGGAGCTGACTGCAACTTAGTGGTTCTCAGTTCTCACACTGTCTGACCGTGTTAAAGTAGATGTAAACCCTAACTGGATGAGATTGAGCTCGCTAAAGCACCGAGTATTAATAACAATGCCTTTTTAAAAAAAAAAAAATACTTTTTTACTCTTTTTTTGTATTCCTTTGTTAGATCTCAGTGCTGCTGATCTCCTGCAGCAACTTCCTGTCTACATGCACTCCGGCAATGGCTACATGGCATTTCTCAGGGTGGGGGGGAGAGGGCACCTCCCTAAAATGATGGCAGATGGCTATTCCCTTGTTATCTGCTTTTTCGGCCACTGCCATATTTAAAAAAAACAACAACATATAGCAGGGGAATGAATAGCTAGGCTGCTATTGGCCATTTCAAATTGCAATAGGTAATAGCAGGCTGCCTATTGTACCCGCCCACTGCTGCTGTCAAACAGCAGAAGAGGACCTGAAGGAGAACTGCAGGTGCATGTCTGCTGATTAACGGCAGCAGTGGGCGGGTGCAATAGCCAGCCTGCTATTGGCTATTGCAAACTGAAATGGCCGGTAGCAGCCTAGCTATTCATTCCCCTGCTATATGTTTTTTTTTTTTTTAAACTGACGGCAGACAGCGGCCCCGCTGTCAAGATAAAAAATAAAACAGATAGCAGGGGATCCCGGAAAGGTTTACTCGGGGAGTAAACCTTTCTGGAATAAAACGTCTCTTTCCTGGGTGTCAGGGAGCTGCTATCTTATAGCGGGAGACTCGCAGAATGTCCGGGAGTGTTGAGATGTCTGCGACAACAGTGCCTGCGTAATGTGTGCTGAAATGACCACTTGCAGTCTCAATCGAAAACCTGTTTGACAGGGGGAGAATGGAAGCGCACAACTGGGTCATGGGCACCGAGCGTTGTCACCCTGCAACAGGAAATTCCTGAACAAGGAGGCTCAATCTGACTTACTGTAGCTTCCAATGCACATTGCGAGAAGCTCACATTGTGCAGTGAAATGAGAGTAAGCAATTTCAGTCGAGAAGAGGAGCCGGTACAACTGTGCAAGACTGAAGGGAAGGCCGGAGTTCACTTTTAAAGTACAACTCTAGGCAAACATAATCTGCAAGCATCTTCTATGGCATCAGTTTAAAGAACAACTCTGGGAAAAATCAAAAACATTTTCTTGTAGTGCCCCACTGTACTTGGCAGTCCATGCATTTCAGGGGTAGCCCCACTGCATTTGGCAGTCCATGCATTTCAGGGGTAGCCCCACTGCACTTGGCAGTCCATGCATTTCAGGGGTAGCCCCACTGCACTTGGCAGTCCATGCATTTCAGGGGTAGCCCCACTGCACTTGGCAGTCCATGCATTTCAGGGGTAGCCCCACTGCAAGGGTAAGTCTTTGATTTTTCCCAGAGCTCTTCTTTAAACCTCGTACCACCTTCCTCCAAAATCAGACTTCTAGAACTCAACCATCTGACGGGTGACTACAGTAAAGAATAGCTGTGAAATTCTGCTTCCTTAGTCAGCTCTTCCTCCTCAAGGGACAGAGACACATGCTTACAGACTGATGATCAGAGAGCTGACCCATGCTTTCCAGGTCTGGAGTGTTGAGTGCTGTCATGCAGGGGATTACAGAAACTAATGTAAGGATAGATACAAATATTTATACTAGCTGTATTTAAAATAGAATTATTATTTGTTTCACAAATACAGCATTGGAATAACAGGAGTTGTATTTTTAATGTAGTCATTAATTATTTTTAAAGGTATTGCTAGAAAAAATACCAAACTGTGTCTCCCTGTTATTCCTTATACAGCAAGCTGGGATACAGAGGGTCAGAACTCATGAGCCATTCAGGATTCTATTGATTTGTACAATATTGTCAGTCTAACATCGTGAATTTTCCAGCAGGCTCGAGGTGGGTCCTTTACCAAGCTGTACTGCTTAACAGCACGGGAGGTCAGGGACCTGGCTACACTGTCTGTCACAAGACTGGCTGAACAGAATTCATTTTGTAGCAGATAAGACTGCTCAGATATATGTATTCAGTCTATGTCCGTCTGTCACAGTCTTTGTTGTCTGAATCACATTGTTCTCACAAGTTGCAGTCTGAGGTACGCTATCCTGCATCCAGCATTGGTGCTCTTACCTGATCAGCCAAAGAGGTAGACAGCATGCTCATTAGTTCCCGTTCAGCAGTCAGACGCCACATCTGCTCCCATTTCATCTTGCGCAGTTTGTCCAGGAGCAGAAGAATCACCCCTACAACAAAAAGAAGGGACACATTAACACTTACAGCTGCTCTCTCACATATTCCATCACAGACTGTGAGCTATTGCAAACTGGAGCCATTATGTACATCTAAAGCCAAAACTGTTGCAACCTTTCCCTTCTCTACACAAAATAAAATGAAAAAAAAAAGGAAAACGCTTTTGACATTTTGGGATCTATTTGTAAACAATTTCCAGAGCCATTCACTCTGTGGATCTTTGTGAACGCTTGTTCTGTGTAAATAGAGGCAAAAACTAACGTTCTTACGGTACTATATTTTGGTTTTCAGGCCAAATGTAATGTACCGCCATCTAGTGGCCATAATGTGGTACTTAAAATTCACACACTTTCTTTATATAGTATGGTAAATTGTTTTGTTTTCCTTTTATTAGTCAGATCTTTGGTTGATCTGCCTGTCCTTCTCAATACAAAGTTAACATGTCTAGTTAGATTGCCTGAAAACAACAAATCATCAATATGACTTATCTTAGTCGGCAATCAGCAGAGACGTGGACCGCACACCCTGATATACAGGTAAACACTAAAGCAAGAAACCATAAATCGTTATACAGTATACTAGATAACCTGGAACAGCAAATGTGTTAAAATGGGGTAGCGACCCTGCCCTGAGCAGGAGGGTCTATTTAAATGAAGAACTTGCCAGGCTGTAGTCGGATTCTGATTGATAGTCCGGCTTTCTGGAGTCTCTCCTAAGCTCCAGAAATGGTTTCTGTCTGCAGCTGAAGAGTGTTCCTGGAAATGGTGGGAAGGCTGCACTGATCAGAGTTAGGAATGTTGGAACCTCCTCATGCAACCACTAGGAGGTTTATTGGCAGTAGTGTATGCTGGGAGAGGGTATACATATTCAGGAGTGACGTGGGGAAGTCAAGTTTTCCTCCTGCCTGGGGGATGTCTGATCCTCATTGGCCAGCTGCCTGTGGAGGGTGACCATGTGCTTGGATGGAAACCTGGGTTCAAGGCCTAGTTCATGAGGCCTGGGGATGGAGATGCCATTTAGGAACCTGGGCCTGAATAAGGAGCCTGAGAAGCTGGGTAGAAGCGTGGTCCTTGACTGGTGATTTCCCCCCAAGGATTCAGTAGCTGCAATACTCAGTACCTTACAGCCAGGAGCTCTATTCACAGAATGCATGGGCTGCTTTAAGGCTTAGTTTACCTTTCCCACCATGCTTCATGTTACACCCAAATTAAGAGGATCACCACCTTAATCGCAGGGATCTTCTCCCTGCTGGCTGCTCCTACTTTTTTAATTTTGCCAGGATCTGTGAATGTAGAAACTACAAGTCCCATCAGCAGAGTGCGGGCAGAGGGACTTGCAGTTTTAATGGAATACAAGTGCGGTGATGTAATCAAACTTGTAGTCCATTGACACTTCTTCCCATCTATGCTACTGCATGTCCATACCTCAATACAGACATGGACGGGAGGAACAGTCTGCAGGAGCCAGAGAATTGTGCCCCATATCTACTGATTTCAGCTTTAATGCTTTACTGGCCCCAATGCATAAATATCATAAATGCACATTTTTTTCTTTTATGAAATGTGCATTTTTTTTTAACAAAAGGTAGACTTTCCGTTTAATGGTTAGTGTTTATACTGGTGCAGGCGGTTGCACTGCGGGCGGGGGGGTTGCGTGGCTACGGTGCAATTGACTCTCCTCCCTGCTGGGAGCCCGCTGCGTGCTGTGGTCTGTGTCCCTCCAGATCGCTGCTGCTGCTCTCCCACGCCTGTATCGGAAGAGGCAGCAGGGTCAGGGATCAGAGGGGACACAGAGCAGGTCCACGGGCTGGCGCCCAGCGGGGAGGAGAAAGCTGTCAGGAGGCAGAGTGGGGGAGAACTGCAGGACGATCAGCAAATATGTGAATTATTTGCTGATTGTTCCCTGTAATATTCAAACATCGCAGTGATCAGTACTGGTCACTACGATGTTTGTAAATAATTGAGGACAAAGTACTCAGATATTGTGACCCCAATTATGAATGAACAGGAAGTGCTATACATCACTTCCTGTTCATTCATGATTGTGGACGAAGGCTCTGTTTACTATCCCCTCGATTTGTGAATTAACAGAGAGCCTCTGTACTGAGTGCTTCCTGTTTATTGAGTGCTGGGGCTGCAGAAAAAGATTGAGGACTCTGTGTCCTTAATCTTTTTTATTTCAAAAGGGAATTATCAGGGGTCTGTTTAGGGCTAACTGCCCCTAACAGTAAAGTAAAAAAACAAAAACTATATATTACAGTATCTTAATACAATTATTAAGAAAAAAAAAAAAGGTGGGGAAAAAGTCATTTTCCCTTTCGGCCCAACAAATTTTTATGTGGGAGGTGTGTTGGAGTACCACTAATTTCAATGGCACCACAGACGCTCCTTCTGCACCTGTACAATCGCTTAATGTGCATTCCAGTGTGGGGCGATTGCAAAAAACTGTGCATGCAGTTTTATTCTGAAGTAAACTTGTAAACTTTATGTTTGTAACTCCATTTGTGTATATTATTTTAAATTAAGGATGGTATTTATATTTCTCTTTATCCGATTAGTTGCAGCCCTAAATAAATTTACTGCAAAAGATCACCAGTGTGGAAGTCAGATAATCGGTCACCACTGGTGGGTCAGGGAGTGCTTTGGGGCAGCTATGGAACTCTGTACCCTAGATTAGACAGGCTAGGAGAGCTCATTTCATCCAGCGGCTCCTTCGGCGGGGGGGCGGGGATTCACATCAAAAATTGCCCTTAACTAAACTTTAACTCAAAATGTGTTCTCAGTGGAAATGCATTATAGCCGCACATAATGGAGGGAGCACAGAATGTTCTGAGCACTGCCGCAAACCCAAACACGCCATAAACATCTACAGAGAACATACAAAGGAGAAAAATATATGTTCTTTTTAGAATGAACACTGACGGATTACCTGCATTCACACATTCAGGGTTTTGTGAAATACACAGACCTCTATCCGTGCTTTACTTTGCACTTCGCCTACAGGTGACGCTAGGTCCCTGCTGATAGGTCCCCATGGAGCTCTGTTGTAAACGCTTTTAGATGAGAAAAATGGATATTGACAACTTTTTACATACATTGAAAACCTTACAAAAATGTAACATTATCCTTGTTTGGACAGCATAAGAGGAGTAGGGAGTGGTTCACTTACCCCGCAGCCAATTGCTATGTCTAGTAGGTATGTTTTCTACACATCTAAATGGTTTAACCTCCTCCTGACCACAATCTGTAGATTAACATTCTCAGCCATTGTGTGCCAATGCCGAGAGAGGATTAATCTGGATTCCATGCACAGGTGTGCGCTCCTAGTCCTGAAACCACCCAGTCACTGACAGCTGCAGATCTTGTGCTAGCAATCGGGAACCACTCAGTGTTTTTCCTGATCATAGGATCACCATGGGATCACATGGGAATTGGTTGCAAATAAACCTGCCAGCTGCGGCTGTTAATTGTGCCCCTTTCTCTTCACCGCATATACATAAATAAATAAAATGAATGAATTAAATCTGAATTAAGATGAATTAATTAATGCACTTAATCTGAGCCAAAAGGCAAAGAAGCGATAAAGATTAATTAATTAAAAAATAAAAAACACGTTGAAAACTATTAATCGTAAAATGCACTTGATTTTGTCACCTTAAATGAAAAACACAACCAGGGGAGGAGGTTTATTACAATATGTCCCTTGCAGAAATACAGCCCTGATGAACAGAGCGCAAATCCCCTGAAACGTGGCAGATTTCAAAGGGTGGATGTTTAGTCAAGTAATCCCCTATATAAAGTACAGTAAACTCGCCATTATCCGGCATTCAAGCAACCAGAACTCTGAAGCAACCAGAGAAAAAAAAAATCGAAGACATAACATGTCCTCAATTTTTTTACCAGTTGCTTGATAGACATGTGCAAACTAAAATATTATGTTAGCAACTAAATTTATTTATTTGCTAACGAAATTATCTGTTTACATCTTGCTGCAGCCGACAGCTAGATTGCTCAGTTGGCAGGTGAATGTAAGCAACGGACAGTGGGTGTGTGCAATAGCCAGCCTGCTATTGCCTATGGCAATTTGAAATAGCCAATAGCCGAAATAAAGAAACGAGTGCAGCCACCACATTTAAAGACTGGTAAGCTGCAATATATAAAATTTTTATTTTATTGTTTAAAGTAGATGTAACCCGAATGCTAACTTAACGTTCTAACAACAGCTGTAAACAATGGAAGTGAATTATAAAGAAATATAGGTTCACTGTGTACAGAATATAAACTGGCAGAAAAGGGGAAGGAGCAGCTAAGGGCGTGCTGATATTATAAGTCCAGAAAAAATTGTAGTTATGTCCTGGAACATTACCCAGAAGCCTCTCTGTTAAAGAAAACTTTGCAAATGAACTCGAAGTTTGACTTTACTGGCAGATAATAATAACCCCTAATCAGAGGTACAGTCACTCCTTATAATACCCGGCCGCAGCGTATATTCAGTCTACGTTACATCTCCGTATTGATCCCTCCTGACACTTTTCTTAACTCTGACTGCTGCTCCGTCCGATAAATTCCCGTACAGCCACTCAGCCGGTTACAAGTGTCATTATTATGCGCAAGGCGCTGTAACGCTGCAGACAGAATTCCGCTCGATATCTCTAGACATTAGTCTGAGATTCTAATCTTTAACCTAATCACCGATGGGGCGATGTGGAGTATACACTGACAAACAAACAAAAAATAAAGTTTACTTGTACAGTCGCAGCGATATACGAAATTCATTTTTTAATTCATTATTCATTGAGGTCTGTGTTGTAAAGCTAGCTCAGAAGTGGAAAGATATTTCATCCAATATGAAAGACAGGAAATGTATTTAATCATTCTCCAACTGATTATAGTACGCTAAAAACGGTAGCGGGCCAACGCGGCTGTTGGGTTAAGCAAGGCGTGCCCTGAAGGACGGGAAGAAGAAAAGTGTTACAAATTTCGTAGATGGTAAT